AGTGAAAACAGGATGCAGCAGGCTAGTCCATGTTGCTGAAATTTCATTGCAGCAACTCAGAATGGTACTCAGTAGTTTGTATGGCCCCCACGTGCTTGTATGCATGCCTGACGTCAGGGCATGCTCCTAATGAGATGGACGGTATCCTGGGGTATTTCTTCCCAGATTTGGACCAGGGCATCACTGAGCTCCTGGACAGTCCGAGGTGCAACCTGGCGGTGTCAGATGGACCAAAACATGATATCCCAGAGGTGTTTTATTGGATTTCGGTCAGGCGAGTGTGGGGGGCCATTTAATGGTATCAATTCCTTCATCCTCCAAGAACTGCGTGCATACTCTAACCACATGAGGCTGGGCATTGTCGTGCACCAGGAGGAACCCAGCACCCACTGCACCAGCATAGATAGGGTCTGACAATGGGTCCAGGTATTTGATCCCAATACCTAATGGCAGGCAGGGTGCCATTGTCTAACCCAGTGTTTCTCTACCTTTTTTCAGTCAAAGCACCCTTTAAAATTATGGACAATTTCAAGGCACCCTCTAAAATTATGAATAGTCTTGAGGCACCCCATTCTAAAACGTAAAAAATTATTTTAATAGTTTTATATAATACAGAAACATCCACACATATAGGACACCCAATGGTAGAGGTGATTTATTCTTCCAAATCAAATACACTTTTTCACAGTGGTCCTGACTAGTATTACAGTGTTTCTCTCCGTTTTTCTCCATCACTGAGCTAATGTGACCCCAGCACTGACAGGGGCAGGAGAGGGGCACAGGAGGGTCAAACAAGAATGCTGTGCAGGCAACTGACAGCCTCCTTATCAACTGATTATGTAATTGGTTGTCAGGACACTGGTGGCTAGAAGGTTATAATGGTTCACAATGAAAACCTGTGGCTTTGTGTAACTAAAAGTCAGACTTCATCCACCCGCTGGCTTGTGTATAAGTTTTTTGTGCAACCTTTAGACATTTTGCCAAGGCACCCCTGAAGAAACCTCAAAGCACTCCTGGGTGATTGAGAGAGGCTGGTCTAACCTGTAGAGGTCTGTGCACCCCTTCATGGATATGCCTGCCCAGATCATCACTAACCCACCACCAAAACAGTCATGCTGAACGATGTTACAGAGATCATAACGTTCTCCACGGCTTCTCCAGACCCTTTCACGTCTGTCACGTGCTCAGGGTCAAACTGCTCTCATCTGTGAAAAGCACAGAGCGCCAGTGGTGGACCTGACAATTCTGGTGTTCAATGGCAAATGCCAGTTAAGCTCTATGGTACCAGGCAGTGAGCACAGGGCCCACTAGAGGATGTCGGGCCCTCAGGCTACCTTCATGAAGTGTTTCTGATCGTTTGGTCAGAGACATTCACAGCAGTGGCCTGCTGGAGGTCATTTTGTAGGGCTCTGGCAGTGCTCATCTTGTTCCTCCTTGCACAAAGGAGCAGATACCAGTCCTGCTGATGGGTTAATGACTTTCTAAAGCCCTGTCCAGCTCTCTTAGAGTAACTGCCTGTCTCCTGGAATCTCCTCCATCTCTTGAGACTGTGTTAGGAGACACCGCAAACCTTCTGGCAATGGCACGTATTGATGTGCCATCCTGGAGGAGTTGGACTGCCTGTGCAGCCTCTGTAGGGGCCAGATATCTCCTCATGCTACCAGTAGTGACACTGACCCTAGCCAAATTCAATAATGGTAACGTAAAGAAGCAGTTTAGGTTCTTCGGAGTGCTCAACCTCTGCTGTCTTTTTGTTTTTTACCGGCATCACTTCAAACGTACTGTGTGATGATCCTCTCACATCAGAAATATTGAGGTTTAGTGGAGGAAAAGAAGTTGGGCTATTATTGTGATTTGCAAGCAGAATGATCAACACCTTCCTGTGAAGTGACCATATAAATGTTTTCTTTCGTTTCATAATGTAGTTTTTTTTTTTTTTTCTTTTTTTTTTTTTCAATTCCTAGGTGCCACTGATCTCATTTTAATTTTGCTTCCTGTAATAATTTGAGGTAGATGGATAGAAAGTATAAGCTGCTTCTGACCTCCACAAATGCATACTTACACTGATGTGACAGCCACCGTTTCATTATTTCCATCCAGCGATGCAGATATTCACTGTTCTGGCCACATAAAAGCCACAAAGAATTGGATGGGGATGTGTCTAATCGCAGGACACAGCCGTTTAGAAATCTACAGGCACTAATATGCATGCTTGGCCAGAACAGTGAAGACTTGCACTGGTTAATAAAAACTGTAGATAAAAAATAATCTAGAAAAATCCACTATGTTTTTACCAATAATATAAAATGGAATAATGTTGATGTGTGTAAGATTACATGTTAAGTATGGCAACAGACTTGAGTCATTTTCTAGGCACAATTGGTGTAGCTAAACCCAAAAGCAGAAATGTGTTTTCTTTTTCCTCCATTGATACACACAGGAAGTCATTAACTATCAGGTTACACTGCTGCCTACAGGAGGATTGAACACTGGCAAACCAAAAAAAAATTTCAGCTAGTGGCGTATGAGGATTGATTTCTGTATAAGATCGGGGTGGGGTGGATTCAGGTGATCCTCATCCAAAGTTCGCCCAGGAGATCTTGGTACACAAATATGCAAATTCCTGGCAAATGAAACTTTCCCTATTCCAAAAAAGGGCAGACTTCTGTCACAAATCCCTTTGTTCCACCCTGCTTCGCAGCTACTGGCTTTAATGGCATGGCTGTTGAAACCCAGGTTCTAAAGAATGGTGACATTTTTTTTACTCTCATTCCCTCTTTGTTCAAGATGAGAAAATCTACCTCATGTACAGTAGGATCTACCATTGTACCTTGAAAGCATACTTTAGTTGATTCCAGAGCAGGCATCACAGGCCTCGGAGATATTCTATTCCTTGTCTTCCAGTTTTGCATGGACCAAAAGGGTGCGAAGCCCAAAGTTTGGAGTTAGCACTCTAGAGGGTCAGGTTTCTGCCTTATCCATTTTATTCCAGAAACCCGCTTCCCAACTTTTTGCAAAAACCTTGGTACAAGTCTTTATCAAACACCACTTTGACCTCCTGTGACTCTTCCCTATCAGGGCCCAATCCACTAGATATTCTGGTGTTTTTCTGGGCCTTTCAGCATCACGTATCCATTTTGCAGGTTTGTAAAGCCGTGATTTGGTCTACTTATTCAAAGTTTTTCCAGCTGGATCTCCAGGCCTCTGTTGATGCAATTTTCTGCCATGAGGTGCTTCAAGTGTTTTGGGTCTGTTGACTCTTGTTTTATGGGCCTGCTTGCTATGTTGATGCCCACATCTCAGTTTATTGGTTTGGCTTCTCCCTTGGTCTATGAATACAAGTCCCAGGTCCTGCAATGCACAGTTAAAAAAAAAATAGAATTTTGACTTACCTGTAAATCCCATATCTTAGAGTACAGTACAAGACACAGGTCTCTGGGTAGGGTTATATGAGGGTGCACTGGGATGTTCTAAGCAAAACTTTTGGCAGTTGTGCATGTCCTGTGCCCATTTCCCCAAGATATGGAATTTTACAGGTAAGTCAAAATTCCCATTTTTCATTTTACATGCTGTTTTAAGAAAATCTGTTACAAATCTAGTCAATTTAAACTGAAAATGTTGTTATAAAACTGTGTGTAAAAATATAAAGACGTTAATATTTAAAAACTGCCAGGGTCAAAATGATATCAGCGTTATCCTGAGGTACTAGTAATGGAATTGTATATACAGGTCTTAACATTTCATGTTTTAATAATGTATAGTGTTTTTTTGTGTACTGTCTTTTTTAAACTGAACTTCAGGCACATAGTAAAGACATTTATTAATGCAGCTTTGTATTCATTAGTGCATATTCATTTTCCAAAAACACAAAGTAATATTTTTCAGCTTATCAGTCCTTTTTGATTTTTGTTGGTTTTTTTTTTTCTATGGCATTTTTTTCTCTCTATTTTCACCTAATAATTCTGCTGAAAAAGCACACTTTGTCTCTTGGTGGCTTCACTCACTCTTCCACAGTATATATGGAGGGAGTCGTAGTTGCCCCTCAGGTTGGACTTCAAACATGTCTGCGGTGTTCATATCCATCAGATGCGGGTTTGTGATGGATATGCAATTATTTCTGCACTCCTGTGACCCAGTTTTATCAAACTGTAAGCTAAAACCTACTGTTGACTGAAGTCACAGAGCTGGTCTAGATTCTGACTTATCAAGATTCCTGACCCGCAGCTGGCTCATCCTCTCCAACCTTCTACGCAGTGCTCCAGTGAGCGCCTGAAGGGCAGAGCAGAGAGTCGGTGAATTGATCAGTAGATTGCTGGTTCCTAGCAGGTCTCCTGCAGACTGTCAGTGTAAGCTGTCTGCTCATACTTTGTACGGGCAGGCAGTTTTACACTGACACGAAGAATCAATGAACTACCACAGCACTCAACAGCGTTTGTGGTAGTTCATTGACAGCTACAAGCCAGCAGCTCTAAAGGTTGTCGGTACTTGTAGTTTCCCATTCACAGAACTCTGTGGATGAATAACGTGGCAGGAACCCCGCACGGCTGCGTTTTTTTAAAATTTAATTGTGACAGCTATTGGTGGAAGAAGATCCTCTGCTAGCTATCACAATGGGGATGCGGGGGCCAGTCCTACAGTAACATGCTACACCCTGAATATATGGGTGTAGCATGTTACGATAGGTGAACTTATCCCTTATATCTTTCTGGAGACATTTTAAAGGAGGACAAAGAAGAAGTCTGAGTGGACATTTTACAGAATTTTGAAGCCTTTAAAAGATTAGGATGGTTTTTAGTTTAACCACCTTCTGCCCGCCCTATAGTACTATGACGGGTGCAAGGTGGTTCTCTCGTTCTGATAGGACGTCATATGACGTCCTACCATTCTCACTGCGCATGCAGCGCGCGAGGGACACAGCGGATCACGGAAAGAGCCGAAGATGTCGGCTTGGTCATGTGATCAGCTGTGTCCAATCACAGCTGATCACATGTAAACACGGAAGTGCCGGTTATCGGCATTTCCCTCCTCTCGAGCTGTCACGCTGACAGCTCGAGAGGAGAGGAGAGCCGGTAATTGGCTTTCCGCGGAGGGGACATGTACACTGATCATCAGGGCACTGATGATCTGTGTGGCCCCAGAAGTGCCACCTGTCAGTGCCCATCAGTGCCACATACCAGTGCACATCAATGCCACCTATCAGTGCCCATTTGAGCTGCCTTTCAATGTCACCGATCAGTGCCAGTCAGTGCCACCTATCAGTGTCATGTATCAGTGATGCCTGTCAATGCCCATCAGTGCAACCTACCAGTGCCACCTATCAGTGTCCATCAGTGCAGCCTATCAGTGCCCATCACTGCAGCCTCATTAGTGCACATCAGTGAAGGAGAAAAATCGCTTATTTACAAAATTGTATAACAAAAACTAAAACTTTTTTTTTTTCTCTTCAAAATTTTCAGTGGTTTTTGGTTTAAGAAAAAATAAAAATCCCAGAGGTGATTAAATACCACCAAAAGAAAGCTCTATCTGTCTAAAAAAAAAAAATGATAAAAATTTCATATGGGTACAATGTTGCATGACAATTGTCATTCAAAGTGTGACAGCGCTGAAAGCTGGTAATTGGCCTGGGCAGGAAGGAGGTATAAGTGCCCTGTAGGCTAGTGGTTAAACAGTCTGCATAGTCTGGCTATTTTTTGTGTTTTTTTTTTTCTGTTCGTTTGTCCTGTTGGTTATGAAGTATTATGTATTTGTTTCAGGTCCAAAACTAAAAATGGGAAGAAGAGTGTTGGTCAAAAACAAGATGCAGATTCCTCAGATGATGACGACTTTGATAAGCGTGGATCTAGGAGACAGGCCACTGTAAATGTCAGTTATAAGGAAGATGAGGAGATGAAAAACAGACTCTGATGACTTGTTGGAAGTATGTGGTGAAGATGTTCCTCAACCAGAGGAAGATGAGTTTGAAACAATTGAAAGAGTAATGGATTCTCGTTTTGGGCGAAAAGGAGGTAATTCGTGCTTCAGATCATTGAAAGTGTTTTTAAGATTGTCATTCTTGATGGTGTTATACTCCTCTTTTACTTTCTGCATGTTCTGATTGCACATCTCAACTGTGGAGGGTAAGATCTACAATTTAAAAGTGAATACTTGTGAGCTACTATAACTCAGGTGTTCAGTATAGTATAGATGAAATTGGTGGTAGTAAACTACCTGTATATTGTGCTGGGTGCGCTGACACTTTCACAAACTCACTTAATTGTGTATTGTTAATCAATTTAAATATACTTATAATGCCGCGCTCCTACTATAAATACTTAATCATATAGTGTATATCACTCATAATAATAAATAAATAAAATAAATGAACTAATAGATAATTAATAAAAATCAATTAATTAATTATTGTGATAAATTAATAATTAATCAAACCATTATTGTGCTAAAACATGCCATATGTGCTCAATCAATAATATCAATGCCATAATAAATATACAGATGTACTTCATATAGTGCATAAATAAATAAAAAGTCTTTTATATAACTTTGTGCAATGTGCAGGTGAACTCCTTAATCCCTCTTTGCAGGTGCCTAAAGTTATTTGGGCAAATATTAAGGTGAGCGTATATTGAGACCACACGGCACCTGCAAAGAGGGATTAAGGAGTTCACCTGCACATTGCACAAAGTTATATAAAAGACTTTTTATTTATTTATGCACTATATGAAGTACATCTGTATATTTATTATGGCATTGATATTATTGATTGAGCACATATGGCATGTTTTAGCACAATAATGGTTTGATTAATTTTTAATTTATCACAATAATTAATTGATTTTTATTAATTATCTATTAGTTCATTTATTTTTTTTATTATTATGAGTGATATACACTATATGATTAAGTATTTATAGTAGGAGCGCGGCATTATAAGTATATTTAAATTGATCAACTGTGGAGGGAATGTGCAGGAATATAAGGGAGGTGTCTGAAGCATTTGTCATCACTTGGAAGTGGCAAGCTTCAACTCAGGCTTTTGGGCTGTAGTGTACCCTAAAACTGGTATTTTTGGGTTACATATTGCCCTGACATTTTTGTGCCCCTTGGTAGGTGCTTTAAAATTTAAATTGTATGACTCTTCTGCAGTGTCCAGTTGATAAAATGCTTTACTTTTAATTGTTAGTTGCAGAAAGATTATAGCACCTTGGCACCTAACATTTTACTAAGTATGTGTGGTTCTCCGTAGACTTCGAGGCCCACTGTTTAATTTGAAAGTACATTTTTTTAAATAAAGTGTACATGTTAATGATAAAATTTAAATAAAACACTTTTTAGATTGTAGAAATAAGTGTTTATGCTTCTTATATGGGTTTGAGTTATTTTGTTGTGAATTTCTCTGGATGACATGAAAAAAAGCACATGTAAGAAGGTAAAGGTGCAGGAGGATTTCCACCTTCAACTATATTCCCAGAGCACCATGGGTTACCTAAGTAAATTGCACAGCAGTATCAGACTTTTTAGGCTGGCTTTGATTGATTTAAATTTTTGACAATTCCTCTGATTCATGTGTATGTAAATTTCTGCTTGAACAACTGAGCTCTGTAAACAGGCTTTTACAGCAGAGGCTAACCAGTGTCTAATAAAAATTAAAATCTGAAAAAGACTGACCAGCTGATTCCAAAATATTACAGAATTTGTAGTATTTTTACCTAACTAAAGAAAATATCTTATTTTTAAAATGTGTTCTTAGTACTGACAATAGGTATCATTTTAACACCTGGGGAGATAAGGAAGCAGATCCTGAATATATATTGGGCAAATACCTCTTCTGTTTACACTGCCTTGTCAAACTTCTTTTTGCATATTTTATATTTTTAGGTAAGCCAGTAATACAGATATCAGGTGTTTGACGTTATTTTCAGTTAGTGTGTTGTAACTCTTTATATGTACTTGTTCACAGTTACTGGTGGTACTACAACCATTTATGCAGTAGAAGCTGATGGTGATCCAAATGCTGGTTTTGATAAGACGAAAGAGCCTGGAGAAGTCCAATATTTAATTAAATGGAAAGGTTGGTCTCATATTCACAATACATGGGAGACTGAAGAAACGCTAAAACAGCAAAATGTAAGAGGAATGAAAAAGTTGGAGAACTACAAGAAAAAGGAGCAGGAAACCAGGAAATGGTACTGGCATAACAAATTCCAAATCTTTTATTCAGAATGTGTTTACTGTAAACTAATTGCACTTTCCCACAGTGGTAATTGTTTCTCTCCTGAAGTACATTAGGATTAGAGCAGGGGTGCTCAACCTTTTGAAGAACTAGGGCCACTTAAGTGATTCGGCAACTTGTCTTTGGCCACAATGAAATGGTTCAGAATTAAATTTTTTTTAGCTTAAATAGCATGGTAAACATTTTCCTCCTCTGAATGCTGGCGGGAGGGAGAGGAGAAGCCAGTTAGAAAAAGCATGTCTCAACTATGGGGTTTTACCACCCCCCAAAATTCAAATGTAAACAAGCCCTTACTGTCCTGAGAGCCCCTATAAGTCTGCTTTCACACTGATGTGCTGCAGTTTGCATAGTATACCTGTGTCTTTCTTGCAGGTTGGCTGTGCTTTGCCGTAGACTTCTATTATATCTTGCAGGTGTGGTGCATTTTCTGAAAGTAAAAAGCAATTCTTGCTTTCAGGAGTTTTGGTGCATTTTCAGAACGCGCACCAAACCCACATGATATAATAGAAGTGCGCTTCCCTGGTTTGAGTTCGAGGTCCACATCAGAGGGTTTCAAAGGCCACAGGTTTGAGTACCCCTAGATTAGTGCCTGGTCTTTCATAATGCATTATAGGGGGTACAGAACAACGTAGCAGTATTAGACTTGTTCTACTTGCTTGTCATTACGATTAAAGGCATTTAAAAGCCGTTACACGTAAGGCAACTTTGGTTAGGCTTAAATGGAACAGATTCAGCATGCTCTCACAGTTAAAATGGCTTGTAAACCAAAGACATGAAATATGAAGAAAGCATATCCCTCTATAGTGTTTACTTGTCTCTCTCCAAAGCTTTGAATGTCATTTCTCTCTGCTGCCTTTTTCTGTTATCAGCATGAATGACTTCTGGCAGCTTTTCTGGACACCAAGAGTTAAAAATGTAACAGGGATGGAACCGCAGCACTCAGCCTGTGACTCAAATTCACAGCTGTGCTTGTTTTCTGTACTGTGTGCAAGGGATGTGTCCCTTTCCTCCAGTCAGGGCTCAGAAGAAGAAGAAAGCCTTTCATCTTTGTTTTCAGAATAATCTATAGAAGAAATGGCTGCAGATAGAACTTATGTAGGAGGATTTGTTTGATCTTTGTGTATCACCTAATACTGGTCAGTCCTCTGGGTATATGTACAGGCTTACATCCTCTTTAAATATAAGTAACTGCATAACTGCAGCAGGCTCACGAACCTTCATGTAGCAGCCAAATGCCTGGACTGTATAAATGGCCTTAGATTTTGCTGTAACACATGTGTGGGCACTTAAAGTGCCTGACCTTCATATCTGCATCAGTTTGCCTTCCTCCTTGGTGCCATCCCTTTTATTGCCATGGGCGCAAGAGAATTACTTTCAACTGACCGTGTCAATAACCCTTATGTCTGTTGCACTGTTAGGACTCTGTTCTTTTTTTTTTTCTCTTATTTTCCTTTCAAAAGTGACACTTGTTGACACCAACATGTCACCAGTTTCAATTTCATTCAGTACTAAGTCTTTTTCCTTTGTAATCTTAAGGCTAAAAGCAGCATCACCTGAAGATATTGAGTATTACAATTGTCAACAAGAACTTACTGACGACCTTCACAAACAGTATCAGATTGTGGAGAGAATCATAGGTAAGGGTCTTTTTTTTTGCAACATATTTGAATGGTATACTTGAAGGGAGGGTTGTTTTTTATCAACATATACACATACCTGATGATGTGGGAGGAAAAAAAAATGCTAATTCTATCTATCTATCACACAGTGGATATGCAATATCCTCGCACCCCTGTAAAAAGCCAGGTATCTGAGATGTAAAAAATAAGACTTCTGAATTTTTTTTTCACCTTTTAAAGTGGTAATAGATTCAATAAACAAACAAAAAAAGTGCCCCCATGCAGGTTTAAAGGATAAGTTTACTTTTTTGCAGGTAAAAAAATGTGCATTTATTATTTTTCTCTACAGGAGCCTGGAAAGCATTGCACCAGCGATCAGCAGATTGCTGATGCCTTGTGGGGCTCCAATATAATAGAAGTCTACACCGCGTCATTCATTCACAGACTTCT